GTGTGAACAAAAGCACAAATAAAAACATGTTGAAAAACACTTCCAAGAACAGCCACCAAGTGCATCATCAGTAGATGGCAACAAGCTTTTGAGACAGAAATGGTACAAATAGAAAGATAATATGCAAAGACATTTGGCAGATTCCTGAAATTAGAAAAACAAAATCAAAGACAAATCCACACTGACAGACCTGCAGAACAAACACAGTTAAATAGTTTTCCTTAACTACAGAGAAATGGTTAAAAAAAACAACCCCAGCCAGATCCTTTTGACTGTACTTGTGTTCAAGTTGTAGGAAAATCAAGGTAACCTACAGAAAACAATGCAAAGACAGATTATGTATTTTTTTTTTACCTAAGATGAAAAAAGTAACAAGTGTGATGAACTATCTGGTTATGAATTGTGAGCAGCGTGAAGATAATTTGAATTGTATTTATGGATCATCTAACTCAAGAGCAAATTGAAGAGAGTAAGAGAGGGTCTTCCAGGGAAAGGATCACCAAAGCTGAAGCAACAACAGAGATAAAGGCTCTTTAAATGAATCACTGAAGATGATTCATGAAGAAAAAAAGCACAAAAATAAGAACAGATATGACAGCCAAAAGGCTACCATGAAGCCAGGCTTGTTAAACATGTACTCAAATCTGTGAGAGGCAGCCAACATTAAAAAATAAATAAATAAAACCATACCAGAACAAAAAGATACAATGCAACGACTCCTTTGTACAAAGAAGCCAGACAAGCAAGAGAAACACACCTGGAAAAAGGTCTCTGATGGAGCTGAATCCAAATTCTGAAAGAAGAGAGTTCTAAAGTGATACATTTCATGGGATCAGAGATAAAAATGAAAAGGATGCAGAAGCCAGAAATATAAGCAAATTTAAAGGAAAAAGGTAACAACAGGCAACTGTGACACATAGCTGTACTATGACCGGCTTATCACAAAAACAATTATTATTTTCTGCAAATAAAATACGGTTACAACGAAAAGTATTATAAAGATATTGAACACATTATGAAATCATACGAGAAGGTAAATCAGTGCTCAGGAACTACATGTCAGCGAGTCCTAAGCAATAATACTGCTTCTGTACAGCCTTCATAGCAACCGCAGGTTTTACCGATACACAACAAATGATTAAATTAGTAATTTAAGCAGTGTTCTGCCCGCTGGTGACACCACACGTAACAAGAGTCATCAAAGCACAGCGGCCGGGAGCGGGTAATCTCTCTACGATGCTTTTACTGCGTAAAAGATTCAGCACACGACCCGTCTGAGGCGACAGGGAAAGCCGCCGTCAGGCCCGCGGGCCGGTGCTCTACCTCAGGAGGCCGGCTAAGGTGCTCCGAGGCGCCGGTGGGTGACCCAATCCTGGTCCGGTCCTTCACAGGACAAGTGGCCGGCAGATGCACGGAGTGGCTGCCTCCCGTGAGGGGGACACAGACCAGGAGCCGCGGCTGAGAGTCAGGCCGCATGGGCCCGCCGGCAGCCCCGGCACAGAGCCCTCGCGCAGCCCCACCAAGCCCCGCTCTCAGTCTCACAGTCACCGCCCGCCACTCACCCGCACAGCACCGCCGCCAAGACACCGCCGCCAAGACACCGCCGCCAAGCCACCGCCACCAGCTGCTGCGTCCAGGCCCGGCAACTGCCGCTGCTTCAGGCTCTCGCGAGAGCAACCCAACACGCAACAGGGGAAGAGACGGCTGCAACGGCATCTCACGAGACTTGAGGAGCAGGGGGAGGGGAGCGGCGCTGCGCGACGCCGTTGCTAAGGGCGGGCCGGCGCCGTGAGGCGGCCGTTGCTACGGCGGGGCCGGAGAGTGGCGAGTCGAGCCGAGCCGAACCGAACCCCGCCGGGGCTGCGTGAAGGCCGCTGTCGTGCCGGGTGGGTGGGACATCGCGAATCCGCCGCGGGCTGTGGGGTCAAACAGGCGGAGGGTGGAGGCTGCCGGTGGAGGTTGTGCTGGAGAGCGAGCGCCGCCCGTCGGCGGGAAGAGTGGCTTTCGCCTGCTGCCGCGGAAAGGTGCTGGGAAAGATGAGGCAGGTGAGCCACAGTGAAGGTACACTGAGGGGATGACAACCTGACAGCTGCCTTTCCTCTGGAGCTCTGTCAATGTTTACACACGGAAGTTGTGAGGAACAGCCGTCTGTGGTTTTACATAGTCCCATGGTAGGCCATCTACCCCGGCCCGGCACAGAAAAAAAACCAAAGACAGATGTAACACAGTTTAGCCAGACAAGCTGAGATCCCCGTCATCTCAATCTTCATCCTAAAACTGATTCCTGATTTAAATTACAACTATAAGTTTTAGCTTCATACAGCCCTACAGGTTATATAAAATCTATATAATCTGCAGTCTGTTTAGGAATGTAATTAGTGGATGTGGCTTTCATTCTGTAGTACTCCAGCAGAATTGTCACGTCCCACACTGCAGGCAGCTTCAGTGTACTGAAGTGTCACAGCTGTTGAGATGACACTAGGCCCATTGCACTCCTTGTGGGGGAGAATTAACTGATAGCAAGCCCAGGCTGTATTCACATCTAAAGACAACATTTGTCTCTTTTTTAAGATTCTATTAGCATCAGGCTGGGATTGACTTCTGTATCAGGTGAAAAGACTCTAGAACTCTAGACAATAAGTATATTGAAGCAAATTTGAATTAGTGGAAAGTTTGTGAGGAGGAAAAGGAGCAAATCTTTGCCCAAACTTTAGAATCTTTATTATTTTTTGTGCACTGTGGGAAGCCAGTCTAGTTGTACACTGGATATTTTGGGGGAGCCCCACTTTGAAGATCAGCCACCATGTATCAGCTCTTCTCAGAGTCTCATAAAATGCTATTTTAAGCCACTGTTGGATCAGAACTCCTAGGGAAAACATGCAGGTAAGAGGGAACAAGGATCTGTATCCTACTGATGAGTATATTCACCTTGAGCAGGGGTTTAACCTCTTGGGGAGGAAGTTAACAAATTTGCTGTCAGATTCCGGAAACCAGAACTGTATAGCCACTGCTTCTTGTGCTTCTATGCATCTTACAAGAGCATTTCTCTCTTTCAGAGACACCTAATTATTAACCTAAAGATTCAGCGAGTGTATACCTCTGGATGTCCCTGGGGCATTAGCAGATCTGACTGCTTCAGGCAGGGAATATTAGATAGACAACTTGTGCACCTTAAGCACACTGGGGAGAGGAGGGAAAGAAGAGGGCAAGAAAGCAGGGATTTGAGTCTTAGCTATACCAAAATGCACCACAAAAGACAGAAGGTTTGCAATATAGAGCAAAACAGGAATCTGATAAATTAATTCTCTTTTCCATTCTTTAACTATAGCCACAGACATAAACCACACAGTTCCAGAAATCCACCAGTAGAACAATGACAGCCAAGCAGCCCGAACAAAAGCTGTTAGCATGCGCTAACTAGGCAGGGAGTCAGATGTTACATGCCACTTAACAGGGAGCTGAGCAAAAATCAGCAGTATATACACAGACAAAGTTAGAAGCAGCTAAGAAAGCCAAACCACTTGCAGTTAAATCAGCAGCAGTAGGTTTTACTTACAGATCATACAGTTTATCTAGCTTTTATTACAGTTCTTGTGACTTTGGCCTTGCTAACTTGGTGTTTTTTTCACATGCTACTATTTTATTTCCCCTTAGAATGGGTATTGATGTTAGTGCTTCCTGTTTCAATGAGTCATGAGTGAGAGACAAGATTATATTTCTTTTCACTGAGAATTTTATAAAATGTGAGTGTGTACAGTACATATCCATCTGCACAGGGTAGGTCTTCAAGGACACAGGTCTTAGCAAAAAGCCCTTGCCAGGTCTTAAAGTTTTCTGCCTTGAAAGTCTGTGCATAGAAACCACATTCTAAAGGGAGGAAAGAGGCCTTTTAGAGGTGCTTCATCTTTGGAAGGCTGACTGACCCTGGGGATGTGAAGGGGTGTGCACCTAATACTTTTCTAACCTCATCTCACTCTAACAGGAGACACAGCGTGGCTTCTTTGGTAGTCACATGCATGTCTGCTGTGAAGTGCAGACTCACTTAGTATTTGCATTATTTACATGCAAGTACACAACCTGGCATAGATTTAAGGCTCATATCAATGCAAGTGTGGGAAAAGAGCTCGAGCATACCCAAAAGCCATTTATCTATTTATTTAGTCTGTTCTGTTCAGTCATCAGATCTTTATCATGCCTGTCTTTATTTATTGCTTTTCTGACTGCTGCTGTTATGTATGTGAACATATGCTGAAACGTGTTTCGGTGGTCCTACTATTTCTTACCATCCTCTTTATAGTCCCCTTAATCTGTGGAAGAGAGATGACCAAAATTTCATGTGTTAGTCCAGGGGAAGATAAATCTTTGCAATAGTTCATAATATTAAATATTTTTGATACCATCCTCTGCCCCACTCTGATAATTTTGCTGTTTTGACTGCTGCTACACTGATCAGAGGTTTAAGCTGAAAAACTGTTTTTTAGATTATTACAACTTGTAAGTAATTACAATCAAATTATATTTTTCCTTCTAATGGGCATTACTTAGCACTAATTCATCTGCCAGTGTGCTGTCTTTAGTCCTTCTGAAGAATCATACTGTATATGGACAAAGCAAATATGATTTTATCCATAAATAAGACAGTGCTGAACACAGTTTGTCTTTGGCCATATTACCAGCTAAGCTATAGTGAGTGGTGTATCCTGTCTCTGACCCTGAAGCCCTTCATAAGCAACAAGTATTTTTTTTAAGTGTACAGAAAGTTTAAATATTTGTGTATGTATCTTTCATCTACTGGATAGCTGAAGATTAAGAGGAACAGGTTGTTTAGATAATAGAATGCTTTTTTTTAGATAAAAATGTGAGGGTTTATTTATTTGGTGCTTGGAGGTTGTACAGTTTCTGCACGTGTCATTATTGTAAGGGAACAGAAATACATTTGTGCTAGGTAAACACCTTCTCTATAACCTTTGTTATTTTTGTGCACAGGAAAGACCAAAGGAAAAGTAAAAATTGCTTTCATAATTATGTTTGTATTTATATTGCTGTAATAAAGTAAGATGGCTTAATAACCTTGCCCCAAATGCTAAATTATATCAGAATAGTTACACATCAGTCAGTTATTATGCTTTACAATCATGTCCAAGAGCTTTTGGTCCACTTTATTTGGTAATACGTAAGTGAGACATAGGTACAAAAATGCAATTTTATTTAAGTTAGCACAGATGTCTGATGAAAGAATAAATAGAAAGTGCACTTCAAGGCCTTGATTCTACAAATAGACAAGTAGCATGGAACCTTTGTCTGTGTGTGAGAGGGGCACAGATGTGCACAGATGTACCATCTGCTTGCAGCATAAGGGCCTCTACGTTACTAAAAGTATAGCCAAGATTATGAAATACACTTTGCTAGTTACAAGTACCTTTCTAGCTTTCAGAAAATTGCATTTATATTTGTAATAATTTATGGGTTTTTACTAGGTTTCCCAAGGTGTGCTAGACATCAAACAAATAAATACAAAGTGGTACAAGAACATCCATGCAAACTCTTTGGCTTAGAGCAGCAATTCATCTAGATTTGAGCTCTGGCAATGGCAAATTTGGAGGCAACCACCATTATCCCTACTGAGAAAACATTCTTGTTAGTCAGAAGTGATTGAAGGTCCTAAGAAAACATGCATATACCATTTAAAATACTTTTTTATTTGCTACTTTTAAAAATTTTTATCATAATTGAATTTTTTCCACCCCTATTTATGCTCTTTATGTCTGATTCTGTTATAGTCCTACCAGCTAATGGTTCTTCTCCCAGGTTGGTTTCTGGTTCTCATTTTTGGGAATTTGGCAAACTGAATTCCTAATTCTAAAAAAATTGCATATGAAAATGCATTTTATTTATGAGAGCCACTGGTTTCACAAACAAAAAATACTTACACAGGAGGCCTAGCACAACATACAGAAATTCAGACATAGTTTACAGAGAAAACGAGGCACAAAAAGTACATATCGCAAGACTTTTGTTTCAATTGTAATTGTCCGGTATAGAATAATTTGCCAGCTCTATAGTTAGGGGCTATGCTTAACCACATGCTAATTTCTCTGCTCCCACTCTTTCTGCTATTAGTTATAGGTTATCATCTTTTGGAAGAGGGCGAGGCAATGAAACCTTCCCTTCATTTCAGTATTTTGCAAAATTCCATCATCCTATTTCATACAGAATTTGTTTTAATCCTATCCTATGTAATGTAATTTAATCTCAAACTTCACCTTCCTACTTTATGTTTGCATTCTTTAATCCTAAACACTTAACATTCAGCTTTTGCCATGTAATTAATGTTAATCTGATTTTAGGCCTTCTTCAAAAAATAAATGTGGATTTAAGTTTACATATTTTCATTAGTGCAAAGTTAAGCAAAATTTAGCCTTAGGCAAAATAGTGCCCTATTCTGGAGACAGGTTCTACTGCATTTATTCAGCGTTAGTTAACAGAAGGAGTACACCTAGTGATTACATACAAATATCGTCCATGTAAGAGCAGTAGAACTGGTCTTAAATGTCTGCAACTTCCCTGCTGTTTTGGATTTCTTTTTCTTTTTTATGCCAGATAATTCTAAGATACATTAGCCATATAAAAGATGCCCAGAAATTGAAAACACATTTTATTATTTGGTTGTGAAATGTCTAGCTCAACAGGGCTACAACCTTGAATGGAGCCTTTAATCCTTATTGCAGTCTGAATAAATAATAATGAAATGCCCTACTTGATCAATGATATAGAGACATGTGCTTACTTGGACAGACATAACACTCTGACTTTTTCCATTATGGCTTTGTTTTAAAGAGTACATCCATGTAAGTTTTGTCCACATCGATGGATTTCTTCTGCATTGCTGCCCGCAAATGCTCAGGAAGCAGCCTTCGACTTCTTATCTCACCCAGCACAATCTCATCCTTGTTTCGAGGTCTCTGGGTCCTAGCATCCTCAAGGGCACTGTGCACATCCTGCAGTTTCATCTGAAGCCAGTCCTGTCTCTCTATGGTGTGTCGATGCTCTCCAAGATTGTGCATTAGTTGCATCTCACTCACTGATCTTTTCCTGCATGAAAGGAAAGCAAAGAAAGAGACTCATAGTGGCCCTTCTTGAATTCTAGATCTCAAAACCCGCCATTTGAGAACCTTTTTGAGATATCACAATATAGAGCCATAAGACCTACTTTTCCTATTCGTAAGAGGTAGAATCACATCTGGAGAAGAGAAGGAGGGTGGATGGAGGCTTATTATTGGTAACAGATATATTAGTGAGAAGGCATAAAAAATGGGAAGTACTGCACTTTTGTGATTAAATTTTTTGACCATGACTTATTTTAGCTATTGTAGAAATGCTTAGGACACATACAATAGTAAGACACTGATTAATAAAACTGTAGTGTTTATTCAGGGCTAGTTTTCTGTGAACACTAGAGCTAAGGAAGCATGACTTCCTGTGGATTTGTACCTCAATGCTGACTGATGTTAATGTCTAAGCGTGCGTTCCAGCTAGATTATCACACAGTAAAATAATGGTATCCTGTGCAGACCCCCTAAGTGCCTTATGAGATGAACCTTACCCAGTGATATTCCTAGATCACTTACATGATTTTTCTCCCTCTACTCAGCTGCCTGTTTTCAAAACCTGTTTAAGAACTCAGAGTATCTGAGATCTCTACAGCTGTATCTAGATGACAGAATTTGGCCAGCTTGGCCAACAGGCTCAAAAACACAGACAGAAAGACTCACATAAACATAAACTTACATGCAGACAAAGCAATCAGGTTATCAAGACACCTTAAGTCACCCTCCAAACTTTGGAAGTGTAAAATAATGTACTTACATCATTGGTCTTCCATCAGACTTTGTAAAAAAGCATATGGCATATAAAATAATTGCAATCCTGGCCAGATTTTTTATAGAGGTCATTTTCTCTACAAAGACAGAAATGAATACCTGTGTAAACCTGTATTTCAAGCAATTTCTGTTTGTTACAAATAAATTTACTTTAGAAATAAATTGAAGGCAAGCATCAAAGAAGGGATTTTGAAAAATACTTTTTTGTGAACGGAGTTAAAGAAAGGCATGCAAACAAAGACTCTGTTTCTAATACTATTTTGAAAGCAACTTTATAGGCAAGTCTAAGATCTTTGGTCTTAGCTTTAGTTGCCCTGACATCATCATCATCATCATCATCATCATCACCATCATCATCATCATCATCTAGGTACCCATCCACTGAATTATTTGGTGAATAGCAACACGCTCTTCCATTATTATTGTTGCTGCTGTTGTTATTATTATTAAATTCATACTTCAAAATACTTGTATATTAGCTATACAAGTTAAAAGTTTTGATATTTTATCTATTTCTCTTGCTTATTCTTTAGAATGAAGAGGGTGACAATTTTCTTGACAATTTAGCATGAAGGCATAACTCTACTGAGTTATGTCATTCCCCATTTAATTCCGTAAGAGAAATCAGAATTGAGCACCTCAGTTTTTTCAGTGATAATCCTGCAGTGCCAGTATGAATTCCACTCTGCTTTGTATATCAGCAGCAGAACTGCCACTTGGGATATATTTGAGAAATATTTATTAATGATGATGCTACAACAGGCAGAAATGACACAGTCCAAATATCAGTTCCTAGTCTGAATTTTCGGTATTGGCAGCCAGAATAAGCATTTTTTTTTTTTTTTGTTATAGCTTAAGAAATTTGATACATTTTTGCAGTATTTTCTGCAGCTTTACTCTGGGTCAAAAAAGCATTTATTAATGGTATCTTACATGACAGCCTGAATGTGGTCCCAGCAGTCAGGATCTGGATTTGCTTCAAGATGTTTCTAACTCACTGCCTCAAATTTTTTTTTATTTCACAAATTTGGTTCAGACAATAAAACAATTTGATTTTACTAATACTTTTTTTTTTTTTAAGATAGGCTGAATAGAAGCTAATGTAAAAATTAACAAATCAATGATAACATTTTCTAAGTAAGTCTTCTAGAGAACTTGGAAATAAAATAGAGTATACTTACCAGATAGTAACTTACACAGATTTCTGGTTTGGGTATGTCAGCAGATGACTGTCTCTTGATGTCAAGTATATTTAAAGACTACTGAATTGGTTAAGTGGTCCCCTTAAATGTAACTCTAAAATAGAGCTTCTAAGTAACTTAGAAGCCCTTTTATTGTCTCAGTTGATGTCACTCTCAACACACACCCTCCTGACCCTCATGTACCCACCCTCAGATGCTTTTGTTAATTTGGCATTTACAGGGAAAAGAAAGATCTCAGCAAAAAGAAAGTATCCTGGAAGAAGTTTGACTTTTAAATTCAGATTCCCTATTCCTCATAGTTTTGTACCCAAGATAAAATGATCCCTGAAGCTGTTGAAATGATTTGCAAAGAAAATTTTATGTTGTCAAATGAAGGCAGGTAAAATTTACATTGGGCAGTGAGGTTAGTGATCTACACATGCAAGATTGTAACAAAATATTGAAAAGCTAACATCTCTAATACTTGTGGGAAACAGCAATAGACACTTCAGCTCAGATACTAGGTTTCTTTGTGAAAGAATATACTGGAGAGGAGCAGAAGCCCTGGGATGATAGTGGATCATGTTTTTAATGAGATGCTGGTGGTACCAAAAAGTTGTTAAAATACACTCTTCTGTTACACCTATACTTAATTATATCCCAGCATCTCTCAAATGCGCCTCCTAAAATGCAAGCATTCAAACAGGCTGTGATGTAAATTAGTACTTTATAAATTTTGGAAAAGAAATACGGAACTCTTTGCCTACATTCTAAGAAGGGAAATGTGTAATTCAGCAACACTTTCCCATATGTTTGAAGAAAGATTATCTTTGGCTGCAAGATATTTTTCCTACATTAGGTGCTCCTTCTGGGTTCCAGCATATTTCTCCAGGAAAATAAAAATTGAAAAAAAGTTTACATCTGCATATTTTAACACACCATTTGGAAGCTATTACTGCTTTTACCATTAATGCTTTTTTGGTTACACTATATATCTGTTGTATTTCACTAGATGTAAAAAAGATATTTTACAATGTTGATTTATATAGATGGTATTCCCAAGGGGAAATGAATGGAAGAAACAGAAACTCCATAAAGCTCTAAAGAAGTTCCCTCAGTAAGCAGTAAACTGAGAAAATGAGAAGTACAGAAATAATCCACTTAAACAAGATCAAGAAAACAAGGTAGAGAGGCTTCCAACATTATATTCTCAGTTGTCAATATCTTTACACCTACACAAAAAGAGTAAACAAAGGTTTATGGGGACAGTATGTTTTGTATCTGGTGTGACCACCAGGGATACTAACTTGAAGGCTTTAGTGACTAAAAATGTGCAATGAACATGGCAAGCCAGGAAAGGATTTGAAAAATCTCTATACAGTTGATTATGAAAAGCTGCATTTTTTTAGATTTTACCATAACAAACATCTGTAAAACCTTTAAACATGGCAGTATTTTTACAGAAGCCTGGCATTCCTATGGAACCTCTACCAAAGACTTAACTAAAGGACAAACATGAAAAAAATCTAGTGTCTGTATGCAAAAAAAGTCATGTTTTCATATAAACTGGCAGCAACTGATAGCAGTAATCGGCAATAAGCCATTAGTAAGACTTGCAAAATGAGTGTTTGCAGACTTGAGTTGCCGACATTATTATTCTAGTTGGAGTTGTATTCCTTACAAAAGACATGTAAATATGGAAGAGATCCCAGCTTGGAGCTTTGTATAAAACTGAGACAGAGAAAATACCAGAAAACACTTAAGTCACTTCAGACAGTTTACAATATATTAGTGCAGGTGCCCTTAAACAAGATGTAGTTTTAGCCAGCTTCTTTGCAGCATACCTAGTCTTTGAAACAACTCTGAAATAGGATTTTTTATTCAAAGGTATTAAATATGTTGTACCTAAAATCTCAAATATGTCTGAACTTAATACTTTAAAAAGATTTCCACATGAAAAATGCACAAGACAAATTAGAATTGCACTGTTTGTCTCAGACAAGTGAAGATACAAAATTAATAAAAATATGGAATATGTACCCCACTATTTGTAAATAAATAGAACCTGTGGTTGTAATTAAAGAAACTTTAAATTACATTTCAAAATGGGCATAGCTTTTTCTTTATATGCAGAAAAAATAACTTACTTGGTTTGGATTATTATCCCTGATATACAGAAATTATGTTATTTTATCATATTGTTCCTAATAACTTACCCCATGTCATCTATACTTACTAAACTTGGCATATCAAATGTGGGAATGACAGCTAATGGACCAAATGAGTGCAGCTTTTTTACATAATACTGGGAATTGTGAACATTTTTGTTTGGACACAGTGTTTCCACCATGAAATGATGAGCTGAAAATGGATTTGAGCTCTTCTGATGTTTCAGAAAGATGAAGATTCATGTTCAGATTCAAATTTTTCTCTTTTAAGCATCCTTTAAAAAAATTCAGATCTCTTTTGGGCACTACTTAATGGAAGAGCTGAACCCAGGAAGCTGGGGCTAACCCCTGCTGAAATGCTGTTCATTAGGAATCTTAAGACTCCCCGCATTTATGGAGACTGTGGTGAAAAAGAGATATATAAACATTCATGACAGAAAAAAAAAGAATTATTATGCCTCAATGAAAAGGCATTTCATGATCCTTTGTAGGTATAAGACTGTATATAAATAAAATGGCAAAAATTGTTGAAGCCCCACCCCCCTCAAGTTTTTCTCAGGAATTTCTAGTGCCTACAAATGAGGAATGACCTACATGAAATTATGTTTTTACTTCTCTTAGAATAAAAGGAGGGAAAACACAGTGGATTCTGAGTTTTCATATTCTGAAAACAGCAGGCTGTGACTGAGCCAATGCACAAAACTAGGTACAACTGAACAGAGCAGTCAACAAACTATAAAACATTAAATGTTTTGGGTATCTATGAGAGAAAGGCAACTGATTCAAAAACTGATTGCAAACTATTGGTGTATATGTTGCATTATCAATACTGAAATTTCTTTTCCTTTGGAAGAGGAAGAAGTGAGAGCAAGTAACCTTTAATGAGACTTAGGCTGAAATACAATAAATGCTTAGTAGATCGTAGTTCAAATTTGTGATTATTTCTTCAGCAAACTGTCTCAGGTTAGACTTATGCTTGAACTGAATGTTCTCTTTATCATCATCTAAAACCATAGAATGTTATACTGGAAATGAGACAATATAGCAATATAGAATCAACTAGGTTGGTAAAGACCTGTAAGATCATCAAGTCCAACCTCTACCTTAGCAGTGCCAAGGCCACTAAACCATGTCACTAAGGGCCTCATCTACATGTTTTTTGAACACTTCCAGGGATGGTGATTAATGAGAATGAGATTTTCATTTCACCCTTGGAAATGGAAATAATCTGTAGTCAAAATGGTGCCCTTAATTTTCAATTTCTTGTTTAACTCTGGTTTAACACTGTTGTTTTAATGTAACACAGTGGGATGTAATAAAATTTAAATAATATGGAATGTGGTAAATATTTTATAGGTATCTCATACTACAGTTTATTACAGTGATGGCTTCTCTGTGCCACGAGGCATTATAGACATGAAACAAGGGCATAGCACTTCTGAGGATGAGGGAGACGGCTGAAGAACTGGAGATGCTGGAATCACAGTGTGGGAGGGAAGAGCTGACCATAGCCTTTTCCTCTGACAAGGCTTTTTCTTGCTCAGTCAGAAAACTACCCTTCTCTGACTTTCCCTTATAGATTGTACAGATACTTGAATCAACTGTGCATGAAAAAAATCTGTGTTGCTTTGTTTGCATGTAGTGTGTCACTTACATTGAATTTGTTCCATTGAATGTAATCAGACTCCAGGGCTGAAAACAAGAGGAAAGCATTTAGACAGACTTTACAGCCAGGTAGGTGAACAATGGCCAAATTCTAAAAATTCTGAATTCTTTATAATCTACTTCATATATTCTATTCATTTTGTCAGCAAAAAGTATTATACTGCATCTTGAAACTGAACACATACTAAGGTGCCTTACTGGAATATGAATAGAAGACACAGCTTTCTACAGTTATATTCTTAAGGCACTAAAGCATATTTTCACAAATCAGTTACATAATCTGGTGTATTCATATTCCTACAGAATCCTTCATGCTCTAGGTTTAAGGCTTAAATACTGCAGTGAAATGACTTCTGTAGTGTTTACAAAAGCCTTTCCCACTTTGCTTGTTCCAGTGCGTAATTCCAGATAAAAAGCTTTCTAACTGCAAGTGTGGCTAAGCGAATATTAGTAGATCATTGAGCAAGGGAACAAAGTAATTGGTGACACACAGGATGATTGGTGAGGCAACCTTTCTAAATGCGTCCACGGAATGTTTCTGCCTTGACACAATGAAGAACCAAAGTGACAGTCAGTAAGATCTTTAGAACTTCATTTGATTGACAAGATTTGTGGCTTTTCAAATACCACAGCAGCATGTTTGGTAATTTATGTAAACAATGTTGGGTATCTTCAGGTGGTTTTTGAGTTCTTGCATCTAGATGAAGCTTTGACCACATGCTAGTTTCCAATTAGATAAAAACCAGCACAGAGACTTATATGAAAATCGAAAGATGAGCTATCACAGTCTTTGTTTGTGTCCAGTCTGTTTCATACAATGTGTTTTTAGCAGCTACTGGCAAACACAAATTTACAAATAATTGCTTGCCAGTATATTTTTTTCTAGCTACATAAAGTCTTTCATCTGAGTATCACAATGTTCCTGAATCTGCCTGATTTCTTTCTGAAGGAAGTATATACTGATGATATTTCTAAGTTATGGACATTTAGGCAAAGACATCCCTGAGGAAAAGATCAGAGAGAAAACAGAAAACAGGGGCTGGTAGATTTTAGTCCCAGTCACCTGACTATAGGTACGCTTGCTTACCTAGGGAGATAAACTGGACACTGTAATGGTAACTGTGATCCAGATTATTTCTAGAGTTTTCACTGATTAAATGAAGCACGTACTGTATCTGAGTGGACACCCCTGTTAGCTCTCAATGTAACCTAGCCATGTTATCTCACAGAGCTATCCAGTTTATTACAGAATTTCTCCATTGACCTATCTTGGACATGCCAGGCTTTGATGATATGATCATGAATGTATGTGTGTTTGCTCCCTGCATGCCACCCTATACCATGGCTGCATAGAATTTCACATAGCATTACATGGCTGTTTTGAAGCCTAAATGGAGAGCCCTGCTTACCTCATCTCTCTGCCATTACAAGAATCTGAAGCTTGATGCAGCCCAGAGTAGCCTGGAGGAATGCTAAAATGTCTGTTAAGGAAAGTAATGAAGATGAGGTACCTCTTAGACTGTACAGAGACACATTTCAATGGTCAGTAGCAAGAATGTTATTGTGCATCACAAACAATAATTAAAGCTGTGGTTAGTTTCAGCACATACATATTGGCATATTTTTAAAGTGATGTTAGTGAATTGTAAACTAAATATGAAAGTATTTGTAGAATTGTGTGTGAAAGTATAGGTATTACTTGGGATTTAAAAGTTGAAAATTATTTTACAGCAAATAATTAGTGGGATATTAGCCTTCCTGACACTGAAATGTCATGCTGTTACTGCTTTGCTGAATTCATTGCTATAATGAACAGTACAGTACTATATGACCTTTTTCAGTAGATAGGAAGCTAGTACGTTACTCAAAACTACTGTTGGATTATCGGATTTTGAGGATTGATACCAAATTGAATTATGCATATGCATACACACATATATATAGTCATACATAGGCCAGGGTTTTCATTGGCCTATACTAGCTCCAAATATTTTGTGCAGGCTTGAGTTCCCATTTAGTGACATACAGTGTAGTTGGAGCTCTAATGAGGGCTCATGTTCTTTTCTGTCACCCTTGAAACCAACATAGCATCCTTGACAAGCCATACAAGGAGACCAGCTTTGAGAGCACGAGTAATCCCAGAGAGAAATGCAACTCTGAAACAGGGCTGAGTTTAAAATCCACTGCCTATCTTCCCCCGTCTGAAGCACCTCACTCAAGACTTCAGGATTCAGGAAACCTCTCTTCTGCATTGCACACACAGCCAAATACATGCACATCCTATAAAATCACCATTTTAAAATCTATTAAGACATCTACTAATAATGGTTTGAGTAATTAAATATTGCTGTTCACTTGATCCTAAAAGTGGGAGGTAGGGAGCAGCAGATATCTGCAAGTGTCAGGTTTGACCTAAAACCATGATAAAAATGAATGTGCTAGCTCTGCATAAAATACAATTAAAAAAAAAGATGACTCAGGATGATACAGGATGGAACGATGAAGGTCTGCATGTTTTATGCAGGTAGCCACGTATTTTTCTATCCTTTGTACTGAAAAGACGTTTCAAGCTCATATTCCCATATTTTTTGCAGTCACTGCAGATGAGCAGATAGCATCCAAGTACGCATTCTGAACCTTGGTGAAATCTCATGGGAACGAAATGTACAGTTTATAAATGAATGATGACACTTCATGACTTTCCTTCAATCCAGTGAATGTCCTGAAAAATATTATAGTCCGTAGTCCACTGAAAAACTTGGAAATATAGAGAACTTGCAAAAATCAAACTTTTGTTTGGGGTTTGAAAGAAAATATTGTGCTAGGTGCTATGCAAGCGCACAAGAAGTGCAGACACTTTAATAATGATGTTATTAAGATTTAAAAAGTGTTGTATTTTATACAAAGCTTTTCATTCTTTCAGATATTAATTGCAGCAAATAAAATGTTCTAAGTTATATATTTAAGTCTCTGTCCCAGAAATAAAGTCCTTTAAATAAAAACTTCTATGTAGAAGACTTACTGAAGATTAATTCAGGATTTACATATTTTGGCCTGAAGTTTCTTCAAGATATTACCTTAATGTATTTGTACACATATTTATAGTATTTTCTATGAGCTTAATACCTTTTCTGTATTTTCCCTTCTTTATTTAATCCATCCTCTTCACTAAATTATTAGCTGGATTACTAATAGTTGTTAAAATCCAGTTCTTGAATTAACAGTTTTCTTTTACAGAACTCAAAAGACATTTTATATTTTCATTATATGTATATTTTAAATCCTTCTATGTTGACCAGTAATTTTCTCAAAACTCATTTTTCTTCTTAGACCTTCCTGAAATATCAGTACTAATGTGAAATTCTCGTAATAATTCTCAGAATCTAGTTCACCAAAAAGTCTAGCATATTTGGAGCATCCATCACTTCACCTTCTGCTTTTTACTTAGTTCTTTTTTTTTTTGTTGGATTTGACACTGTGGTCTATGAGAAAATGCACTTTACATTAAGACATATGGGTCTCAGTGTTTAACAGTTACTTGCTTTTGTCTCTGTTTCAGGCTCTGTGTTGAGCCAGTGAAACTCAAAAGAATTAAGAATTGGAGTTTGGCTCTACACATCATCACCCTGGCCTCTTCTATGATCTTCAATAAATGAGAGCATTATTATTAACTGTAGTGGTAGTTCAGTGCATTAGATAGATTTTACTAGTCAGTATGTCTCCTCTAGATCTTCTATGCTGATGTGTATTTCTTCTCTCACAAAGCTAAACAGACTATCTCAATTTAATTTTTTTCTAGTTAAACTGCTTAGTTCACTGCTTAGCAACTGCTGAAATCTATTCCTAAGGCTGTGTCTCTTCTTCCATTTGAAATTCAGACTCTTCATCTTAATTTTCTAGGCTTTTTGTAGAAGGCCTATATCCCCACTTCGGTGCATTGTATATCGCCATTTTAATCCCTACAGTTTGGGCTAGGATAGAAACAAAGATTTGCTTCACTTACACTGCATGACTGAGTAGTGGAGGACTTAACCTGATATTTCTGCCCTTATTTTCTGCTACCCTTTGTTTTACATTGTGATCTCCCTGTCTCATAGGATAGACTAGTTAAGGTAAGAATTAACCAATTCTGCCTAATCAAGTCACTTCTTTTTCCATGCTTCATAGTCCTTACTAAAATGACCTTTAGAATCCTGTTCCTAACTACTTTTTCTGTGGTACCCCTATGTTAGGAACAGGATTTTCTCCATTGGCCAGATAACATTTCTTCTCTTGTCTCTTTTGCATTTTGCTTTACTGCCTATTACCAAAACAACTGGCTGTTTCCCAGTATTTAAGAAAAGATAACAATTACCCTATATAGGCAAATATTTATACAAAAAAAGAATCTATAAGAAGCGGCCCAAACCTACACTATACTGCTAAAAATTGTTCCTTCCCCTCCTGTAAGTTGTACAATTCTGCATGACCTTAGGACTGTGATCTCTTTGAGTATGGATTGTATTTTTCCACTAATTCTGATGCACAGTTATCATCCTGTAGCAGTAACAATGGGCTTTGTAGTTTTACTGTGATCCTACAATGCATCTCACAAAAAAGAGGATCATGAAAAGGAATATTCTGAGCCATCATCCCTAGCAGCCTGGTAAAATTAAAGATTGGATAATTAAGGCAATTACTGCATTAGTTTTTCCAGGATCACTGCCCCTTCTCCTCTCTCTGGAGAAACTCCTATAAAAGGAGGCCCTGCATATCTCTGTAATACAAATTACCTGAAAAAAAAACGCATGGTCAGAAGCTAGTGGGAAATAAGGCACACTAATGTGCAAACAGTTGCTGAGGCAAGAGTGGCATCCTAACCCCCAAAATTTCTTTGTATCTGAGAGAACTATAAACATCCGTGAGAGTATGAATTTACCAAAATGCACAGAGGAGATGGTGTGAGCTAACGGTTTGGTTTTGTTCCATGCTAGCATCTGTGCTGTAACTATAGGAACAGACTCTATAAATAGGCCAACCCAGTTACCTTTTTCAGAACTTCGGGGATGGCTAATCCTCAAAATAGATGAATTACATAACTCTGTTCTCTAAACATACTCATTTACTCTGCAAATTGGGCTTTTTGCACACCTCTGTAAAATTAGCGCATCCCTCTCTAGCTAGTACTCACTGGAGCAGTTATTCAGTTGACATAGTTGTGCTAACTCAAAGAACAATGCTAGTTGTCAGCATCTGAGGATTTGGACTTTGGCTGCAGATATTTATTAGAGTGTTTTAAAAAGAAAAGCAAATCTGAAATATCAGACCATAACAATGAATCTCAAATTTAATTCTGCAGGGTCAAAAAGCCACATTTTTGACACACTGGGCTGGATGCACATGTTTGAGTTATATGAGGGGGAGCAAATACTCAAACCGAATCATGCAGTTTTGCAAGACTGTTCTTGAACTTCAGGTTACAACAGAAGCTGGAGAAGTGTTTCCTCCTCTGGAGAACAACGGTATTTAAGAAGCACCACACAACAGAAGATCTCATTCTGGAGTTCTGAAATCCGCCCTTAAAGGGGCAACTATGCACAAATCTGGACCTAATGTATTATAAGTGGAAATGCCATTCTTGCATCAACTGTCAACTCTCCAAAACTCTAGGGACTTTTTACAGTGATGTTGTGTATTGGAACCATTTGCACATGGAATAGTCCAAGCAGTCCTTAATACATGCAGGTTTATGTCCAGTTACCGCCTTCTCAAGCTGAGCAATCATTATATCACTGCTACAGTGGCCTAACAGCCTAATAACGTAAAGACAAGACATTGCATTGGAATGGGCAGCTCTGAAGACACATATGCTCAAATATGACCTCATCACATTAAAGATATACTTAGAGGAATAGTATCCTTCCAGGAAAGAGCACTCTACAGCTGTTACCACTAATGCCTGAACAGGTCCCTTGCTCATGGTAATTCTTATACCACCTTTGAAAGAAGAGTTATTTCATGCATTTTGTAGATGAATGAACAGAAATAGGAAATCTCAAAGCTGGAATCTACCTAGAATGCTCACCAAAGGCCAGGAAATGTCATCAAAAGGCCCCTGCATCACTGTGCAAGTGAAGATACTTTCCCATAAAAGTGGTCCACACTGTAATATTACAGTGGAAGAGACCAAAAGCTCAATGTGTTTGGTATGTGAAGCCCTGCATTCCAGGCAGCAGTGCAGAACACAGGGCTGGGAGGCTATTACTGCTCCATTATGTAATGTTCACAAGCTCTTTGCCACGAGTGACCGAACACCTGCAAGAGGCACATATTTCCCACTCTACTAGGGTTGCAATCTCATTTTGTCTTTCCTGTATTTATCTTCACAGAGGAATTACTCAAAACCTGCAGACTTTCTTTTTAAGCCTCTTGGGTGTCACTAGATTTTCACTCTATGTGTGCCTCATGTTTTGGGCTCTCCAGACATACTGTTTCTTTATTTGTTTGTTTTCCCATCAGCCTTCACTATTTTATCCATCTCTGTTGTGGTTCTCTCCTGCAGTTATATTCCTAATTTATAATCAGTCATATGGCACACTATCACATTTCTGAAGAAATATGAATACATATCGTTCTGCTTAATTTATAGCTCTGTTCTTTTGAAGCACAAAGTAAAAGCTCTTTGCAAAAATATGAACACTGGATGGAATGATTGTCATTTTTTGGATTTCTGGGGAGTCTCACACTGACAGCTGTTATTGCTGGTGTCAATCCCACTTCCATGTAATAAAACACTTCTCTGTATTATCTCACTGCACAAGTATGATAAATACTTTGTTACAGGCATTTACTTACATCCTAGTCCTTCTGTGACGGTGAAACACAGGTGTTAATAAGCCACTCAGCTTCTGAGGCTGTATTGTAAATAGCATTAGACTAACCAGGTGATGATATCACATCCGTATTTTGCATTTCCAAAGCAGTATCTTACATTGTTATTTTTTGAAATACAGATAATGAAAGATTGCAAAGGTCTTTTCAAATTTCTCAGTGTTCAGAAGAGACCACTGTCTATTTAACATTTTTAAAAGCAGAGGCTTTCAACCATCTTCTGTGCCGCAGAATCCTTTAGATTCTCAGAGGTCCTGTAGTTCAACTGCCTGCTCCAAGCAGGAACAACAATGAATTCAGACCATGTTGCTTAGGGCTTTATCCAGTTGGGTTGTGGAAATCTGCAAAGACAAAGATCTCAGAGGCTCTTTGGGCAACCTGGTGTTCAATTATGTTTAAGGGGAAACTATTTTTACCTTCATCAGAATTTCAAATATTTCAATTTGTGGCCATTATCTCTCATTCTCACACAACACACTTTGATAAAAAGCTTCTCTCTTGGTAACCTTCTCTGAGATACAGTAAGGCTGTTAAAAGGCCTTCCTAAGCCTTTTCCATGCTGAATAAGCTTTTCTTAACTGGTCTTCATAGGGCAACTGCTTCAAGCCTCTGACTATCATGGTGATCTTCTGCTGGATTTGTTCAACTCGATCATTTTCTCTATACTGCGGGTCCCAAAACCAGATAGAATATTCCATTTGCAGTCTAGTGCATGCTGAGTAATGGGATAATCAGTTCTCTCAGTCTGCTGGCTGTGCTGCTGTTGATAGAGCCCAGTATGCTGTTAGCCTTCGTTGCTGCCAGGGCAGACTGCTGAATCATGTTTAGCTCACTGTCCACAGGGGCCCTGAGGTCCTTTTCAGCCGTGTTCTCTTTATCAGTCAGTGCTCCCAGCCTTTAAAATTGCAAGGTGTTAGTCCATCCCAGGTGGAGGACTTAGCATTTGTTCCTTCTGAATTTCATGAGGTTTCCATAAGCCCATTCCTCTAACTTAATGCCAGGTCCTTCTAAGTGGCAAGTCTGCCTTTGAACTATCAACTGAGTGCTCAAGTTGGTGTCACTGACAGGTTTGCAGAAGATTACGTTCTGTGTAATCCTCTGGGTCATTGACAAAGTTATGAAGATAGATAGATAGATCCCAGAGTAGACCCTTGAGGAACTGCACTTGTAATAGGCTCCCCGGTGAAGTACAAACCATTAACCACTGTTCTTTGAGCTTGGTGATCCAGCCAGTTTTTCATTCATCTAGAAGTCCATTTGTCTAGACTGAATCCCATCGTGGTGTAAGAATACTGTGGAAGATTGTGTCAAAAGCTTTGCTAAAGTCAAAGTAAAGAGCATTCACTTTCCTCATCCCACAGTCATTTAATTATAGAAGGCAATCAGGTTGGTCAGTGCCATGATGGGTATTCCTGTCACTTTACTCCTTTTTTACAGGAAAAAATATGGAAGGCATGCAGACTAGTTAGATCACAGTTTTCACCATGTCTCTGCAGCAGCTTCATATGCAAAATAAAAAGCAAAGGGGAAAAAAGGACAATATTATATTTAAAGATATATAAAGAGAGGTTGATTGAAAATAATGAAGTTTTAGATGTGCAAAGGAAGCAGAACTAGGCATTTCAAATATCACTAATTTACAAGGAAAATTATATGGGAACTAGAGAAAGAAGCAAGTTATATAAGATAGTTAAAGGATTTTCAGTATTTGGTTTTGTTTACAGTAAGCAGAACATACAATAGATATAGCTTGTTCCAGGAGACAGTGAACCTGTTGCCTCAGGCTTTGAAGAAGGCTCTTGGAGTGATCTGACGTATTATACAATAGTAATCTTTATGTAGGTACATTGGTTTCCTTAATAATTAAAATTAAATCACAAAAAATTGCAAGATTAAGCTAAATAAAGAAAATCCTGCCTCACTTCTCTCAGAATTCTTTGACTATGCTAATAAAGTAGTAGGCAAAGAATACAAAATAGACCTTGACTATGACCTGATTCAGTAATTTCTGTATTCCTAAGAATATCACTTGTCAAGAGACATCATCCACTGGAGCATGAGTTTCCCACAAGGATTTTGTCCCTTCAGTTTCCATTTTCATCAGAAAAATAATCAAGATACTGAAAAATAATTTATGTGAAAGGAAAGAATACTTCTGCATTTTCTGTTAATCAGTTTGGTTTACCTCATTTAGGACATTTGTCATGCAATATCTTGACTACAAGTTGGCTTTGGCAAGTTCTGTAGAAAATTATTCCCCCTCAAGCAGTTTCAGCAAGAACTGGCAAAACATTCAAATACAAAAGTTTTTCAAAATCCAATGCATTTGCAGCATCTCAACAGTAAGTGTTCCATTATAATTGAAACTACACCATTAGTCATGAATATTTGTAATCAAGGGCAGATCTGCTGAGATGGATGTATTACAAAGATTATTTTTTGCCAAGCATGCACTTTCCTTGGCCTGTGTTATCATTACATCTGTACAGCTAATTGATTTCTTCAGATATCTTTCTTAGAACCAGAAAAACAAATCAAAAGCACAATATTATGTGCAAGGAGGTGTCATTTGAACTTAGCATACTGTCTAAATCACACAGGCAATGAGGAGAAGCAGCACTTTATAATGCTTTTCTGTTCACTCAGTGTATGCACACAGAGTACATTCAATATTTTTGTTTTCCAACCCAAAAGAGCTCTGACAACACTTTTAAAACTTCAGTGGCAGTGTCTTCTTGCCATCCTGTATAAATTAGGTGGACCAAATTTTCTGAAGTGGCCCTTGAAACCATACTGACAGATTTCTTTTTATTGGTATAGTTTCACAGGCACAAGAACTCATGTAAGTTTCCTCAGAGAGTACTGCTCTTCCAAGCCAATTTCCCCATTCTCACTGGGAAAACTCCCTTCACTTGTGCCGGTGATCCTAAAAGGAGAATCTGGCCTACAGATCAAAATTCCCTAGCTCCCAGCTTTCCGTTCTGGGAGGGCGTTCATTAACAAAGACAGTTCTTTTACCATTGTAAAGGTAGGAATGCACAGCAGGAAGCCTACTCTCAGTGAAGCCCATTTTGTATTAAGTTCTAATAGATGATGTCAGTTTATTCATCAATGACTTTCATTTTATTCAAACCCATACGAGTTTAAGAGAAGGTCTGCAAATTGCACCCCTGCATAGCTGGTGAAATTTCGGGGAGGTCAGGGCTTTCTAAGAGACTCCCTACAACTCCTAGCATAGAGGTAAGTTCTTGAACTTAGGGTTCAACTGATGTTTTACCTGTGGATGTTCTTTCTATTGCTGTTTCCTTCAAGGATGTCCACAATACAGGATTCAAGTGTCCCCTGTACTACCAGCAAGGACAAGGGTTTACTTGCTGGGGAAATAAAAAAAAAAATGGCAAGAATCTTGGGGAAAAATTGCTTGACATCTTCACATGGATAATCTTCAACTCTTGCATATATTAGAAAGATGAGCAAGGTCACTTTGTGTATAGGGGACTAATGGATACAATATCAAATGTTTCTTCCAGATTTTAGTGCTACAGGGGACACGATAGGTTTTAAACTACCTATGAAGACAAAACATTTTCCTTTGTACTTTATTTTAAAGACGTTTCTCATTAATACGCAAAAGTTGCAGAACAGTTAGTTACCCACTAACAGCTAAAAAAGCTTGAAGTGCAGGCGGGGCGCAGCAGCTGAGTGTGCCATTAGCAACACTGCCCTCTCGTGGACAGAATGGAAACGCTTTCTTTAACTTCAGGGTGCGGCCACCGTATTATCAGCAGGAACACAGCGGAGAGCTTTGCTTTTGCTACTGAAACCAAAAATACGGAATGCCTTATTCATACTGTTGAGAACCAAAACTTTCAGGTGTGTGAAAAGAACACAGATAGCCAAAGGCCACCTCCTAAGAGAAAATACATGAACAAGTTGCTATGGAAATAAGACAGAGTATTGACAGAATCTTTCCACAGTCACTCCCGTGTCAGCAAAGGGACACTGAGCCATGTTAACCCTGCAGTAATTCTGAAGAAATCAGTTAACTGTGGTTGTGCGAAGGTTACATCTGGACTGCGATTTGGCTAATTTCTGTGTTGAATTTAAGTGTTGACAGATGAACTCTTATAGATTTAGAAAGAACGCTGTAGGATGTTACCACCTGACCTGTTGACTTCTCTCAGCTAGATGTCACTGCCGCAAATATTGAGCTGCATGAATTAGGCATATGAGCCTTTCTAATGAGCTGCAGAGCAAAGACTGTCAGATTTTTAGCCAGAATAAACCAACAGAAACTAGGCCTATATGAACAACATTTATAGATAATTAAGATAAATCAGGTATAAGTTACACGTAGATGTAGTAATAATGATTCACAGAGTATCTTATTCACACAGTAGCATTTACATCAGTGTTTCAATGCAGTAATATAAGCTTAACCTCCAAAATCATATATGTCCAGATAATCTGTTCAATACAAGATTAGACTATGTTAAACTGTTCCTTATTCGTAACTGTCTCATGATTTTAATGGAAATATAACTTTAAATACTTTTAAACCACATAATTAAAAAGCTTTTGAAAATGCTTATCTTTCACTTTTTTTAGGACTTGGGCTATATCGTGTGACCCAATGTATAAGAGTTAAAAACCATTGATCTATGTTAAAGCAATTTTCTCACTCTTTACTCAGTTCCTCCAGTTAAAAAAACCAAACAAACAGAAAACAAAACAAAACAAAACAAACAAAACCCAAGAAACCTCCCCAAACCAAAACACACAGAAAACAAATACCCTGTCATGAGAATAACATTTTACTTGTATGTCTTTTATGCTAATTTCCCTGTGTAGATTCACTTTTATCCTGAAGGATATAGTTTGATCCTTAGAATATCCTTTGTTTCAGTTATCTTCTGGAATTATCCTTCAAGTAGCTTTCAACTGCAATCCCAGGAAATTCTTAACTCTCCTCCAACATTCAAAGTTAACTTTGTCCTCTGCTAACCTTACAAGGAGTGGACACAACTGCATTTTGTGACATTTTGTCAAGTGCCATTTTGTCCTAGCACAGGAAACTAAATCCAATCAAGCTGCAGAGAACATATGCTGCAGGTGCCGTGTGTGGAACACACGATTTCCAGACATAAACCAAAAAGAAAAAGAAATCCCTGACCTGTTACATTTTATTATATTTAACAAATACTAAGGAAGTTTAAAAGTACAAAGTATAAGAAGTATTTTAATAATAAAATTAAAACCTTCTCTACTGATGACAGAAAAGGAGATAGTGGCATCCCAAAGAAAGTAAGAGGCTGAAAATTTTAAAGAAACTTTACATTAAAAAGTCAAAAGGAAACAGTTGCTTGAGATTTGACATCTCACTACCCATGTGTACAGTGCATGATCAAGGAAAGGGGTCACAACTGTCTCTAGGAAAAGACTGAGCAAAACCTGATGAGGTTAGTGAAATTAAATGAGGGAAGAAGGAGGAATGTAGGAAGGGAAAGGAACTCTTTCGCTTGGAAAAAAGATACCTTTTGGTTTTCCTTTAGCCAATGTAAAGAAACAAAAAATAATAATTACTTTTAAATGTCCCTTACAGTAATTTACCCCAATTTAAGTATGGAGAGAGGTAGAAGAGAATGGAGCCACAAGAAGAGAAATAGTACTAAGTGGAAAGTAAAAGGGCTGCAGAATCAGGGGACCTTGTCACCCTGGATTATAGGAATCCTCATAACCACTGAGTATTACTGTGGTATCAGTGGGACTACACTGAATTTATAAAGTAGACTGTAATGTCTATCTAGGGCATATCTGCACAGCTAGGCGAAGTTGCAAAAGCAATGAGGATAGACACATTCAAGCTCCTTGTAATTCAGCTACTTAATATAGCAAGCATAATGGTGGCCTGGTGGCATGAGCTTCACCATGCTGTGGCAGCCCAAAACCAAGCCCTCTGAAGATGTTATTGATGCTATGGTAGCTTGAGTGAGTGATAATAGATCTGGTGTGGATGTCTAAAATGACCCCTTCTCTGGGCTGGACAGTCAGAGGTAATTGGTTAACTGCAAACCTCAACAGGATTGATTGAGAGTGTTTGTTAATTTGGGAATGTTATTAAAAGCATGATGAGTATGACTCTGAAAGCACTTACAATAGAATTCTGACAGAAAAAATAATTACCCAAGGAACTGGTATGTATACTAAAGCTAAATAAGTATTATTAAGTAACAGCTATTGTATGATAAGTTTTTCAGAGTTTTTTATGATATCTGAGCTTTTTGCATTTCCTCCATAGAATCATAGAATAGTTAGGGTTGGAAAGGACCTTAAGATCACCTAGTTCCAACACCCCTGCCACGGGCAGGGACACCTCACACTAAACCATATCACCCAAGGCTTCGTCCAACCTGGTCTTGAA